GAAAGTACAGGTATTTGAGTTCAACATGTAAGAAGTAGAAAGTCCTCATAAAAATAAGTAGTGGAGTAAAGTACTGATATCAGAGAAAGTATTTGTACTCCACTACTTCCCACCTCTGGATACGGATATGAATGCTCTCTGCTTAAAGTCTATGTAACTCTGAAAGGTGATGCACGAGCCTTTACTAAAGAAGCACACAAAATCCCCACTCAAGTTCAACAACAACCTGCTTTGTGAACACTCCCGTCTGAAAGTCTGAAGTGCCCCGATAAACATTCATCCGTTTGTCATCATGCAATCTACTTATTTATATAAATAGTTATCACCGCAATAAACCGTATTTAATTGTGTCTTAATGTTCATTATTTAATATTCTGTTCTCGAACATATCATATTCTATTTACATGTAGATAGACTTCTTGCACTATTTTGTATTTTATTATATACCGTGGAGGAAATAAGTATTTGATCCCCTGGAGATACTCATTCAAATTATAGACTGTTCATTTATTTGCAAGCGGGCAAACTTACAAAATCTGCAGGGGATTAAATACTCGTTTCCTCCACTGTGTGTTGCATTGTTGGAGGAGTTCAGGTCAGAAGGATTTCATTGACATGTCTAAACTGTAGCTGCTGAGCATATGACAATAACACCTTTGAATCTTTGAAAATGGCATGCCTTCACCCTGAGAGGAATCTGCCACCTGGGCTTTGTGAGCAGCGTCAGACGTCTCAAATATCACTACCCGGCGCTGAGATTAAAAGGAAAATAACTCTCTCCTTCCCTTGGCTTTGGCCCAGGACCCTGAGGGCCTCCAGAACAAAACAGCCTCTGTCTCTGGTCCAACTGCGGCAGCTGCTCAGACCCTCCAGCAGTGTTTAGACTGGCAGGCTGCACTCTTAAAGGTCTCCTATCCTGCTATTGTTAGGCATATATTATAGGTCTCAGATATATATAAAAATGGTAACACTTTATTTTTAAAAAGGTACACATCTTCACCATCAACTAGTTGTTCATTAACATGCATTTTAGCAGTATATTGGCTCTTTATTAGTCATTATAAAACACTTATGAATGCCTTATTCTACATGACCATATTCTGCAAGTACTAGGCCATTAGCTGAGAGTTTGTCCTCAATAACCCTCCAATAATTAGTGCTTATTTATCGCAAGCAAGGAAGTTGTTGTACAGGCGTTAGGGTCTTAATGTGCTCAATATGGGCCTAATGAGGCATTCTCTCATAACACCTAACAAATATGATCTATTCTTATGCAACAAGACATGAAACTAAAAGTGTTAATTGTGTCAAAATAACTCAGAATGTGGTTTTTCTAACTCAGAATATGTTCCCTATTTGAAAGTGAAGTCTTGTTCATAACTGATAAGCTGGTAGTTTGACTCCAATATGTTAAAGAACAACTAGTTGATGGTGAATATGTGTAACCTAAATCTAAAGTGTTTCCATAAAAATATATATAAAAAACATGTCTATGAAGTGCTTTGCTCAAAATACCAAACTAGCCTCAAACCCCTCTATTTCAGCTGTTACTAAAGCGCTGATTCTGGGTCAGTAGCTACCAGCAGAAACTCAGCTGCCGGGATTAAACTCCATCATGTTCCAAACCACATCAAGGATTCTCTCTGAAACAGAACAGAGCTCAAACTCTTTCTCTCTCTCAGGTTTACCACAAGGTGACTTCCTTTTTACTTCCTGCTTCTTCACACACTCTCTCCAGTACAGGTTAGCTCTGAGTGTTAGCATGCTAATGTAAACACAGACCATATTACTTCTAGCACACGTCTCATTGTTTCTGACAGCAACGTTTCTGATTGGCCCGTGGGTGTGAAGCCCGCCCACATTTTAGTAATGTCGTCATGACGCAGCAAATCTGGATCAGCTCCGATGTTCCCCCGTTTTTAGAGATGTGGGTACGGAGGAAAAGAGAGAGGGGTTTATTTTGTGACACTTTGTGAGTCTCCTGTCACCGGGGACAGAAGGTGATGGATATAGGACATAAAAAAAAGTGCATTTTGCATGATAGGAGAGCTTTAAAAGCGCAGTTTACGGACTTCTGCATCACTCTGTTTTCAAGAAGACCCACCTGTCCTGCACCGCATTTTACTGACTGTCCTTTGTTATATAACCATATTTGATTCAATATGCTCCTGAGATAACTTTATATTTTATCGTATTTTCTCCTCATTGTGAAGCACCTAGAGATGACGTCGTTTTTAAAGTGTGCTATATGAATGAAATGTATTATTATTATTAGTTTAGAAATGAGTCATGCCCAGATAGATGAACCTCTGGGTGATTACAATATGTACAAAGTGGAGGTTTCTGAGTGGGAACGCTGAGTTGACCCAGCGATGAAAAGATCTCATTCAGCTCCGAGTGCACGTAGATTTTATTTAAGCTCGACATACATTAATTTGCATCCAGAGAAAAGGAAATAAGGCAGATACTATCATGCTGGCAGACTAATACAAATAGTCAAATGCAGCAGTTCTGCACTCGAGGTAACAGAAACCCAGGAAGGAAGGAAGTACCAGAGACACCAGGATGTGCAGGTTATTTTAACCTGTAGCAGGGCTGCATATTTCATTGAAATGTTATCAAAATGGCAACGTGGGCTAGAGCAAAGTTCAAATACAAGGAAGCACAATATTTGGTCAAGGCTAAATACAAGTTAAAGGTCACCCATCATGCTATTTGTAGGCAACAGCATAGGTCTCAGATATATACAATATATAAAAACATGTCTATGAAGTGTTTTGCTCCAAACACCAAACAGATCATTCTAGCCACGTTTTTTGGTGCGTTTCCACTCGGGGTAGTTCCGGCTAGCGGGTACTTTTTCACAATTTTTCTGGCACTCCAAAATCATGGTTCTTTCCGGGCCAACAACCGGGCTGAGCCGGGCTGAGTATGCTAAACTAGACAGAGAATCGCTGGCAACTACAACAAGATGAACATATTTGACTGTGATTTAATTGTAATACACCAGGGGTGCCCAACCTTTTTTGAACCGAGAGCTACTTTTAAAGTTGCCAGTCTGCTGAGATCTACCAGTCTAAATAGAGAGGTGTAGCCATTACTGACAGCCTACTACCAGGTGAATACACACTTCTACTTGTATAAAACTGACCTCTGTACGATTAATACTTCATAAAATACTCAGATCCTTTATCTTACCTCTTTCTAATCTACACACATACAAGTATTTAACTGAAGTTACACAACAGTGTTGTTGATACAGAGTTGGAGTTTATCCACACGTCACATACTACAGTGGGTAATGTTTAAGAAACATTGAACAGTGCTGCCACATATGACACAGGAAGAAAGACTCTGAACCCTTTCTTTGACATTATATAAAAATAGTGTTGCTACAAAAGTATAAATTAGGCTTACTAATAAGACAACTCAGATCTGAAGCTACACAGGAATCTGCTGCCAAAGTGCAATAAAAAAAGATTATCTAAAAAATTAATAGAATCAAACCCTTTTTTTGTTGCATTTTAGTAGATTATAAAAATAAATGCCTTTAAAATAGGAAGCCAGCAACACTAGTTTCTTAACCTGAATTGATAATAGACTATATTTGCATTCTTATACCATTTTGTACAATAATTGTAATGAATAAGTTCAAACAAACTCAAACTTACAGCTGATTAATAACGGTATCTAACTTGAGTTTTTATTATATCAAAAACCTGTTGAAATGCTTCTGTTATTTTTACTGTCCCCAAAAAGCGCGTCGGCAGCCTCCAGGAAAGCTTCTTTCATAACTTCGCCGTCTTTGAAAGACTTCATGTGTTTCTCAAGAACGTGCCTGACACGATAAGATGCTCTGGTAGCAGCCTTGCTCTTGTTGTTGGACCTGGTGAAAATGGACTGCTGTGCATTTAGCTGTCCTCTCAGGCCCCTCCCCTTTTGGAGCGTAGGGCAGAATTAGGAGGGAATTCCGTCTCGTAGCGTTTGTGCACTGTTTTGAAATGCCGCTCCTAAATTACCCTTCTTCGATAAAGCCACGCTCGCATTGCAGATGAGAGACAGAGGACTTTGAATTGGAATAGATACAAAAATAATCATCCTCCCACTCGGAGTGAAAATTATATATGTTTTGCTTCTGCCATAATTGCGGTCTTGTGTGTGTGCGGACTGTCACTGCACTGCCCACTAGCCACGCCCCAACACATGGGGTCACGCCGGCCAATCACAAAGCTTTGATGCGTTCAAGTGCATTATTCTGGCACAGGAAGATTATGTTACAAGACATTAACGATAAAACAGAATATTGTTGTTCTATTTTTAGACACATCTCGCGATCGACTGGGAATCTCCCCGCGATCGACTGGTTGGGCATTCCTGTAATACACGTTTCTAAATTATGCCGAAGTAACAACATACTGATACCGGTTAGTAAAAACCATGAATTAATGCTTTGACAAGTCTGCAGACAGACGGCAGAGAAACACCTTTTAAAATGCGTGCTTTCTAAATGGAGCTTGGCTAAGCTAACGTTATATATGCTCCGACCGTCCACACTCACAACAACGGCCTACAGACATAAATAAAGCAGCGACTGTATTCTCCATGACACAGACAGTCTGTGGTTTGTACTTGTTTAACTTGTGTCTAGTTTCTGAACAGATATGAGGAGCTGTGAGCTCTGAGTGCTAACTGCTAACGGCTGATGTTGGTTTTGTGGTTCTCATTGAAGATGACGTCACGGCTCCCCCTACACTGCGTTACTATAGTTACCGCCCCAGTTCCTAAACTGTAATGGAAACGCAGCATAAAGTGAGCCAAGGCCTAGCTATACCGTACTAAGCCGAGCGAGGCCTGCAGTGGAAAAGCGCCATAATTGTGGAAACACCTCTTGATCACCGCTCATTTGCTCCAGTTTGATACCTTTGAGATGCTTTTACATTGTCAAAAAGAACACAAACTCACGTTCACTTCAGTGTGATTTAATATATATATCGTGTTACCTGTGGTGAGAAAGCTCTGGAGTTTCCCCTGAAGCCTCGTTAGAGCGGACGCTTCTGGCCTGGCTGTTGGGAGAGCTTTTGTCCGAGGCTCTCCTCCTGGAGTCGGAGGATAAAGCGTCTGAAGGAGGAGAGCAGGAGCTCCTGTGATCTTCCACCAGAGTGCCATCGCTGTGGTCTGATGCTGCGCCTGCAGAGGACCAGAGGTTATGAGAGGAGTTTGTAGCACAGAGGGTTAAAGTACACACATCAAGTAGAAAGTACAGGTATTTGAGTTCAACATTTAAGAAGTAGAAAGTACAGGTATTTGTGTTCAACATTTAAGAAGTAGAAAGTACAGGTATTTGTGTTCAACATGTAAGAAGTAGAAAGTACAGGTATTTGAGTTCAACATGTAAGAAGTAGAAAGTACAGGTATTTGAGTTCAACATGTAAGAAGTAGAAAGTACAGATATTTGGGTTCAACATGTAAGAAGTAGAAAGTACAGGTATTTGTGGTTCAACATGTAAGAAGTAGAAAGTACAGGTATTTGAGTTCAACATGTAAGAAGTAGAAAGTACAGGTATTTGGGGTTCAACATGTAAGAAGTAGAAAGTACAGGTATTTGAGTTCAACATGTAAGAAGTAGAAAGTACAGGTATTTGTGTTCAACATGTAAGAAGTAGAAAGTACAGGTATTTGAGTTCAACATGTAAGAAGTAGAAAGTACAGGTATTTGGGTTCAACATGTAAGAAGTAGAAAGTACAGGTATTTGTGTTCAACATGTGAGAAGTAGAAAGTACAGGTATTTGAGTTCAACATGTGAGAAGTAGAAAGTACAGGTATTTGTGTTCAACATGTGAGAAGTAGAAAGTACAGGTATTTGTGTTCAACATGTAAGAAGTAGAAAGTACAGGTATTTGGGTTCAACATGTAAGAAGTAGAAAGTACAGGTATTTGAGTTCAACATGTAAGAAGTAGAAAGTACAGGTATTTGAGTTCAACATGTAAGAAGTAGAAAGTACAGGTATTTGAGTTCAACATGTAAGAAGTAGAAAGTACAGGTATTTGGGTTCAACATGTAAGAAGTAGAAAGTACAGGTATTTGAGTTCAACATGTAAGAAGTAGAAAGTACAGGTATTTGAGTTCAACATGTAAGAAGTAGAAAGTACAGGTATTTGAGTTCAACATGTAAGAAGTAGAAAGTACAGGTATTTGTGTTCAACATGTAAGAAGTAGAAAGTACAGGTATTTGAGTTCAACATGTGAGAAGTAGAAAGTACAGGTATTTGAGTTCAACATGTGAGAAGTAGAAAGTACAGGTATTTGAGTTCAACATGTGAGAAGTAGAAAGTACAGGTATTTGAGTTCAACATTTAAGAAGTAGAAAGTACAGGTATTTGTGTTCAACATTTAAGAAGTAGAAAGTACAGGTATTTGAGTTCAACATGTAAGAAGTAGAAAGTACAGGTATTTGAGTTCAACATGTAAGAAGTAGAAAGTACAGGTATTTGGGTTCAACATGTAAGAAGTAGAAAGTACAGGTATTTGGGTTCAACATGTAAGAAGTAGAAAGTACAGGTATTTGTGTTCAACATGTAAGAAGTAGAAAGTACAGGTATTTGAGTTCAACATGTGAGAAGTAGAAAGTACAGGTATTTGAGTTCAACATTTAAGAAGTAGAAAGTACAGGTATTTGTGTTCAACATTTAAGAAGTAGAAAGTACAGGTATTTGTGTTCAACATGTAAGAAGTAGAAAGTACAGGTATTTGTGTTCAACATTTAAGAAGTAGAAAGTACAGGTATTTGTGTTCAACATTTAAGAAGTAGAAAGTACAGGTATTTGTGTTCAACATTTAAGAAGTAGAAAGTACAGGTATTTGTGTTCAACATTTAAGAAGTAGAAAGTACAGGTATTTGAGTTCAACATGTAAGAAGTAGAAAGTACAGGTATTTGAGTTCAACATGTAAGAAGTAGAAAGTACAGGTATTTGAGTTCAACATGTGAGAAGTAGAAAGTACAGGTATTTGAGTTCAACATTTAAGAAGTAGAAAGTACAGGTATTGAGTTCAACATGTAAGAAGTAGAAAGTACAGGTATTTGAGTTCAACATGTAAGAAGTAGAAAGTACAGGTATTTGTGTTCAACATTTAAGAAGTAGAAAGTACAGGTATTTGTGTTCAACATGTAAGAAGTAGAAAGTACAGGTATTTGAGTTCAACATTTAAGAAGTAGAAAGTACAGGTATTTGAGTTCAACATGTAAGAAGTAGAAAGTACAGGTATTTGAGTTCAACATGTAAGAAGTAGAAAGTACAGGTATTTGAGTTCAACATGTGAGAAGTAGAAAGTACAGGTATTTGTGTTCAACATGTAAGAAGTAGAAAGTACAGGTATTTGAGTTCAACATGTGAGAAGTAGAAAGTACAGGTATTTGTGTTCAACATGTGAGAAGTAGAAAGTACAGGTATTTGAGTTCAACATGTGAGAAGTAGAAAGTACAGGTATTTGAGTTCAACATGTAAGAAGTAGAAAGTACAGGTATTTGAGTTCAACATGTGAGAAGTAGAAAGTACAGGTATTTGAGTTCAACATGTGAGAAGTAGAAAGTACAGGTATTTGAGTTCAACATGTGAGAAGTATAAAGTACAGGTATTTGAGTTCAACATTTAAGAAGTAGAAAGTACAGGTATTTGTGTTCAACATTTAAGAAGTAGAAAGTACAGGTATTTGTGTTCAACATTTAAGAAGTAGAAAGTACAGGTATTTGAGTTCAACATGTGAGAAGTAGAAAGTTCAGGTATTTGAGTTCAACATGTAAGAAGTAGAAAGTACAGGTATTTGAGTTCAACATGTAAGAAGTAGAAAGTACAGGTATTTGAGTTCAACATGTGAGAAGTAGAAAGTACAGGTATTTGTGTTCAAAATGTAAGAAGTCAAAGTAAAAAGTGGTCAGAAAAATAAGTAGTGGAGTAAAGTACTGATACCAGAAAGATGTACTTAAGTACAGTAACAAAGTATTTGTACTCCACTACTTCCCACCTCTGGTTGTAACCATGTGTCCATATAGAGAGCATTTGATTGATTTCCTTTTATATGAAAAAAGAAGAATGATCTAAATCGCTCACCTATTCTTCTGGCAGAGTGTTTTGAGGAGGCAGGGGTTGATCCGGAGGAGAGATGAGGGGAGTGAATAGACGAGTGAATAGACGAGTGAAAGGATGAATGCTGGGAACTGATGCCTCCTGTACTTTTGTCATACGGTGACCTCCTCATCAGCTCCTCAAAGTGACTGTTCACACTGACAGAGAGCAGAGAGAAAACACACGATCAATCACTTCTAAAACACAGATCAGTATCCGTGACACAACACAAAAATATATATATATATATCCTTTACCCGCCACTGAGCCTGCAACCCCGTTTTGAAGAAATGTGCAGTGCAACACAGCCACTAATGATAAGACATTTATTTAGCATTTTCTTTCTTTTCATTTTTTTGCACAGATTGCAAAGTATCATAACTTATTGTTCTCGCAAAGGGATTGCACAATTGTATTATGTATTTATTTTTTAGAGCACACAGACTTATGGAGCATTGTTTCATTATCACTGTTCTAGCAAAGGAATGCTCACGTTCATATTGATGTATTTTAAGAAATGTTAACTTGGCCCATTACGTGACTATTTGTGTTGGGGGGGGCGGCTTTTTTTTCTTCTTTTGCCTGACAGAATTGTTTTGAGAACCACTGCATTAGTGTGACGTGACTGCCATCTAGTGGTCACTTTAAAGACTGCCTTCCACTCATTCATTTTCCTTACCTGCGTGAGTTGGAGCCTCTCTTTAACTGTGCGCTCGCTCCGCTGCTGTGCAATGACACAAAGTCGTCTTCATACACCGCTGCGTCTACATGGCCGTTAGCAGAGGGAGGAGGGAGAGCAGAGGGGGGGTTCCTCTCACTCCCTGCAGGAAGAGAGGGAGACACAGCAGACAGAGCAGAAATATTAAGGATCTTATAGCAGCCAGGTATATATTGTACAGTTATTAACGGCATATATATATACAGTGATTCCCACAGAAATGAAATATACTTTGGGGGAACGACTCGGGGTGGGTTGGGGGGGTTGCGTGAAAAAAAATCTCCTCAGAAATCTCTCAAAAATGTAGGAGCGGGGCTAGTCCTGGTGGGCTACCCAGGCTGAGTGACAAGGTGGCATCCAGGAAACTGAAATTTGCAGGTCACTGCCATCGACACCAGGAACTTCCAGCTGGCAAGTTAGTACTCTGGGAGCCAACACACGGGCACCGACCAAGAGGGCGCCCCACGCCAACATACGTGGAGGTGCTGAGGAAGGATGTGGGGGTGGAAAGCTCCACAGAGCTGGCCGGGTGTATGGAGGACCGTGAGGATTGGCGAACCCGTTGGCAAACTCGTCTAAGGACGACCTAGTAGTAGTAGTCCTTGATTGGCTCAAGTTCACACCTTTTTAGGGGCGGGGCTAGTGATGTTGTCCCGGGATGCTTAGGAGTTGATAAAGGAGATAATCCCACTGACGTCATCATTTGATTCCAAAAGTGGGTCTGGACTCGCGCCCATAGAGGCTGTTTACCAGTATAATGGCTCTCCCCAAAGTATCATTTATGGGTGGCTCCCCCCAAAGTATAATTTATGGGTGGCTCCCCCCAAAGTATAATTTATGGGTGGCTCCCCCCAAAGTATAATTTATGGTTTTTTAAGTTTTTTTTACTCAGTGAGCACTCATTGCCACCAATGCAAATGCAAATGAGTGCTCACTGAGTAACAAAAAACACACAAATTATACTTTGGGGGGAGCCATTATACTTTGGGGGCCCCCCAAAGTATAATGGCTCCCCCCAAAGTATTAACATGCTGTGGGAATCACTGATATATATATATATTGCACATCATTTGTATTTCACAGCAAGTTGTTGAACACTACAGTTTGATGCGAAGCTCTCTAAGTTACACATTTCCACATTGATCCAACACCAGGTTGAGTTGCACACAAAAAGGATGTGGAACAAAAATACATATATACACATCTTCACAGGTACAGGCAACAATAGAAATGGATAACATAGCAGGAGGCAGAGGAAAGGAAATGGATGTGCAGTATTAACAATATCTACATAGGCTAGAAGGAGGGGACTGGATTTTATTTACAAGTCAAGGTAAGACGATGTAATGTGTGTGTTTTACAGAATGCTGATATAAAATATAAAAACATACAAAGCCGAACCAACAGGCGGAGTAAAGGTGGTTTTAAGAGCTTTTTGGGGTTCGTGTGTGTGTACATCTGGCTCTGACACCAGCCAGTACCTCCCAATCCATAGACCTCAGTGGAAAGGTACTCGTATGTTTACTAATAGGGGTGGGGGAAATCATCGATACAGCAGAGTATCGAGATGCTTTGCGATATTGTATCGATACACGGACGCCAAGTATCGATATTTTATTATATGTAACTATTCATATTGCAAATCCAAATGAACGTTTTTGCTAACAATTGCTTTCTCAATCCACTAGATGGTGCTGAGCTTCTTCTTGTGCGGTCATGGCCATGGCTAAAGTCAGTGGGATTGGCAGGAAGATAGTCAAAACAAAGATGTAAATATATATATCGTATCGCAATACTTAGCATATCGTAGAATCACAATACTATACAATACTATCGTGGCTTTCTTGTACATATCATATTCTTTTTATTTTTTATGTTGCATTGTTGGAGGAGCTCAGGTCAGAAGCATGTCACTGCCATTTCTAAATTGCAGCTTTGTGCATATGACAACGAAACCGTTTGAATCTCGAAAAAGTATTGCAACAGTATGGTATCATTACTAATAGTGGTGCACGATAATTATCGGCCCGATATTAGGAATTATGACGTCATCCCGATAAACCCGATAAAAGTATTAATAGCCCCGATAATATACAATATATTTTTTGGGTAAAAAAAAGAAAGACATACTGCGGTGTGGGTGGATTGGGATGAGGGGCGCTTGTTTTTCACTCGGCTCCTCCCGTTTTGCCAGTACTGTGGTATTAGTGGTTTAAAGGAAGAGGGGAGTTCTTCACAAATCCAGCGTTCCCTAACTCATGCCTGGCTGTGACGTAAATGGTGTGCGGCCGTGAAGCCAGGACAGTAAACATGTCGTCGGTAGTATGGGACTATTTCAAAGTTTCAGAGTTAGATAGTTCGCTTGCTATTTGTATTAACAAATGCAGAAGTTCCACGAGGAGGGAAAAAGCAACGAGCTATAATACTTTCAACCTGATTAGTCACCTGAAACATCGCCATCGCTACGACGGTGTGTTAAAAGCGCACGAAGACGCCTGCGCTGCTAAACTAGCGGCGAATCCAAAGCCAGCTGCAAAGGCACCGGGGCTTTTACCTATCCACGAGGCTTTTGAAAAAGGCAAGAAGTTTATTTGGGAAAATAAATATGGTCACTTTGCAGAGTCAAAACTGTTCGTGGCTTTGTTTTGTTCATAGTAGTAATGCTCATGTCATTTGCTCACGAGTAGTCTTTGTTTTACCACCAGGTGTGCAAAAACTACAGGTACATTTAATATATATATTATATTATTATCGGTTATCGGTATCGGTCTTGAGAAGCAGGAAGTTATCGGTATCGGTTTCAAAAAACCAATATCGTGCATCCCTAATTACTAACCTGGAAGTCTGCCCTGAAGGTTCTTGGTGTAGATGTTGATGACGCTCAGAGGGCTCCCTTTGTTCAGCTCCTCCCAGGGTGCTTTGCTGCTGTCGTGCTGCGTGTAGCTGAGGGTTGAGCACTTGGCCGCCTCCCTCTGAAACTCCGACAGCCTGTGGTAGTCCTTCCTCTGCCCCGCGCAGTACTCCGCCGCCTCCAGACGCTCTGCTGCTGCTCGGGGGAAACGACCGTGTGAGGAGGAGGAGGGGTGAGGAGGACTTACATCATCCTCAGAGAAACTCCCCTCACTCAGCAGAGGACCCTCGCTGATGGACCCGGCACTGGAGTCAAGAGTCCCATTCTTATCCTCTCTTCTTGACTCTCCGTTATCCATTCTCTCCACTCTGTCCAAGCCGTTGACCAGCCTCTCCCTCTCATGTGTGTTGAGCCCTGTCTCGTCTGCAGGTGTGTGTGGATTGTTTGTAAAGGTGTGTGTACCCTTGCTGTCTCTCTGTCCCCTGAGTGCATGTAGATGTCCTGCTCCTGGTAGAGCCGTGCCATTGTATGAACTTGTATGACCTGTGCTGGTCAGAATCCTCTGGATCCTCGACGCCACGTCATCGTTTTCAGCCCAGCTTCCAGCGTCAGGATCCCCCTGAGAGGGTCTTATAACATCCATGGGGGTTTCTAAATCTAAATCAGAAAGAGAGTTAGTACCAGGTGGGTTGACACGTACGAGGAATTTGACTTTGCATACATAAAAGTCAAACAAAAAAGTAAAACAAAAATGTAAGAACTATTTTAACCTGTTAAACCCCGAGCCTGTTTTTCAGGTCTCAGGCTCGAAAATGACATTCCCAGAACAAAATGACCATATCTTCTAAAAGGGTTAAATTAATAATCTTTTTTCTCAAAGTAAGGATAAACCTGTGAGTTGGATGTAGAAAAGTCAGAATCAATATAGATGTTTTTTATTTTAAAGAAAATTCAGATTGAACATGGTAAAAAACTGTAAATTATAGTGTCCGTCCAAAAGATATTTTGTAGTTATAGTGAAAACTAACCTTGGATGATGGTAAGGTAGACTACAAGCTTTAGGAATCCAAAGTACAACATATAATAAGTACCCTGTATCAAGATTGATGCAAAACAAGTGATATTTGACCTTTTTAGACAGATTTAGCAAAAAAAAACCTCTTCTGGGGCCATTTGGGTGGATTTTCCATATCTCTGGCCCCCCTTGCTGGATTTTGACATCTCTTCCTGACCGTTAGAGCCAATAGAATCCAAGAGAAATCGTCCCGCACACACTCAAAAAAAAAAAGTGGCGTCTCTGCGCATGCTAGCTTGCAGCAGAGGGGAGAAATATCCTGCTCTGATATCAAGCAACGGAAAAGCAGTTTTATTGCTTATGGATTATCAGAACATTTCAAAGGGGGCGCAGTCCCATTGGATTAACCTATGGATTAACTTCAGCATCGTTTTTATTGTTTTAATGCCATTGAAGACCAGTTTAGACCAGACAAAGACGAAGGTAAACCATGTTAGCGTTGTGGGCTACCTAGCGCCACTTGTTTTGATGTACGTTTTTGTTGATGTGCAGCTAGGATAAGTAATAAGGGAGCTAGGAGTGATTATCGGTGCAGTAATAGGTTAGCATTTTTCGCTCAGGGGTCATTTAGATGCTTCTTATGAGACTTGTGTTTTGTTTTGGTAAAAATGGTTTGTATCGGCAGTTAGCTGAGATTATTCCCGTTAATCTGGTATAACACATTAATAGGTTCTTAAATATTAAGATCCCCTGAGACACAGTGTGGTGAAAAAAAAAACTAAAGTACCCGCCGGCGGGGACCTTCGGGCTTAACAGGATTTATGAAAACAATAACAGCATAAAAAAATAATAACAAATATAGCAGTATTTACATTGAAATATTCAGGAACATTATATTACGGAGCAACTGACCTTCTCTCTGAGACATGCAAAGAGAACATTTGAAAAGTACTGGAGGAACTGGAAATGTTATGTGAAACCAAACGGATGTCCGATCACCTACTTGCTGTGTTTTGAAAATGCACTATTGTATGATGTGTGTGCAAGTACGCATTATATTATGTTGTAATATTTTCTACAACATACTTTTTACCCAGGATGACCCTGTCTTGTAACAAAAACGAAAAAACAATTGAAGTGGACCTATCATGCTATATTTGAATAATATATTGTAGGGCTATACCCATATAAAACATGTCTGTGAAGTTCTTTTTCTAAATACAAACAGATCCTGCATTTTAGCCATGCCTCATTTCGCTCTATTTGCTCTATTCCAGCCCTGTCTTCACAAGGGCTGATTCTGTGGCAAATGAGCTGCAGCTGACCACGCCCCCCTGCAAAGGAGGGGGGAGTGGAACGAGGGTCATGTTACCATGCCACGGCAACCTCTCATTCCCCTGATAGGTGGAGAGTTGCCCATATAGGCGGAGCTCCCCGTTTCTGACGTCAGAACAATTTCAAATCTGTATCAGATCCGTTGCAGCCCCGTTTTTAGAGATGTGGGTACGGAGGAAAAGAGAGAGAGTTGTGTTTTCTGACACTTGGTGAGTTCCCTGGAACACCGGGGACACATATTCATGTATACAAGACGTACACAAGTGCATTTTCACGATAGGTACCCTTTAAAAAAAAGTTTTTCAAAAAAGAAATACAATCAAATGTGTGCAGTAATAAAAAGAACAGTACCGTAGTTGACCCCGTCCCCAGCGATCTTGCGCGCCTCGCTCTCGATGCGGTTGGAGAGGGAAGCCGCGGTGGCCTTCAGGGCTTCGATGCGGGACATCTTAGAGTTCGGCCTGATGGAGGGAGATGGTGTCGGACGCTGCTTCACCGCAGACTCCATCCTGAGCAGGTGGGACAGGAAATGGTCTCCATAAGGAGCCATGGTGCTGCTGCTCAGGTGCTCCGGCTGCAGCAGAGAGGCAAGGCCAGTATCCAGATCATTCCTGCAAGAGGGAGGGAACAAGGGACGAAGTCAGCAGAATTACAAATACAACAACATGCAGGAAAAGTGTTTTTAACAAATGTAAAATAACTGGTTTTCTTTCAGATATTGAGAGAGAGTAAAACCCTGTACTCAATGTTACATGTCACTTGTTAGACGCTTTTATCCAAAGTGACTTACATACTCAATAGAGAACCGCAGTGACGCGTCCTAAAACCCGGAAGTAAGTTAGCATTTTACCACGTCTGGTTCCTTCGACAAAAAGCAATCTCTCCAGAGGGTTCTGGAAACTATCTGAACTAAGGTCTGTGGTTGAGACACATTGAAGAGAGAGATCACGTTTTGTTCTAGGACATTAAATCATCAGCAGTGACCCCACTGGTGATTTCTGAAGAGGTGACGTGTCTGAGAAACGATGGTTGTTACCAAGTGGCTGAATAGGACTACAGAAGTCGTGGAGGCCGTTGTACGTCATTACGCCGAACACGTGAACACTCCTCTAAGTTAGTTTCTGTTCTGCTTGAAAGCAAGTCCCTGCCTCCTGCAGACTGTTCAAACAAACGCTTCAACTCGTTCCATTTAGAGTCTGTGTGTTTGAATATGGATCTGAAGTCGGCGTGACGTTGAAGCAGCGACCCTGCTGTAGTTCCTTTATAGCATAACGTTAGCATTTAGCTTCTGGCGACTAGATTTATGATTAAACAATTATAAAGTAGGATAGACATGTGGAGATTATCCTCTGAACAAAACGTGATCCGTCTCTTAAATGTGTTTCAACCACAGACCTTATTTCCAGATATTTTCCTAAATCCTATGGAGAGATCTCATTGTGTTTTTGACGAAGGAATCGGAAGGAGTTTACCGGGTTTTAGGATGCGTCACTGCGGTTCTCTATTCTGTGAGCAATCCCCACAGGAATACATTTGGGGTGAAGAGTCTCAGGGACACAACGACATGCTGACTGCAGAGGGGTTTGAACCTGTGACCCCCTGATCTGAACACCAACGCACAACTCACTGCACCACATGCCTCCCTCCCTCCCTCAATCACTTTATTAATCCCGCAAGGGACAATTAATAAAGTTTAATCAAGTTAAAAGGTTTTTTAACTTGATTATTTATTTATTTATTGTGATGCTACAGACTATATGGTGTAAATTGGAATGATCCACATCCAGGCTCCTGGGTGTATCCGTGTGCTTCCTGCCTGTGGACATAAACTGCTCATAACAAAATGAATCCTTGCGGGATTAATAAAGTTGCTCATAGATAGATTGATTGATAGATTGATAGATTGATTGATAGATAGATAGATAGATAGATAGAGAGATAGAGAGATAGATAGATAGATAGATAGATAGATAGATAGATAGATTGATAGATAGATAGATAGATAGATAGATAGATAGATAGATAGATAGATTGATTGATTGATTGATTGAGGTTCACCAGGAGTGACAAATAAAAAAACATGCAGGATGAAGAGAAATTGGGTGAGAGCGAAAGACCTGAGGAACCTTGTAAGTGTTCTTGTTTGTTTGTTAAGTTCTCGGTTTCCATTCATAATACAGGCAACAAATAAGGACAGTATGAGTAAACAATAGCTTAAAACAAAAATAAATAAATAAGTGATTAAATCCTTATTAATGAATAATAAATAAGAAGTCTACCGGTAGACTGACAGGACATCGATCCTCTTGCAGTGGTTCTCAAAGTGGGGTCCGCGACCCCCCGGGGGTCCGTGGCACTCTGCCAGGGGGTCCACCAGCCAGTCTGACGGCGATCAGAAGCTAGCCTAGTTCTACCTGCTAAGGCTAGCCTGCTCTGGCCACCACCGGTGCTCCTCTGCGGCAAACGTCTTCAACTTCCACCATCTCTCCTCAGTGCTGTCCGTCCTTGAGTCGCTACCTGGACAGGCTGCCTGCTGTCCTGGTTCATCTGTACTCTTGGCTGATAGCGCATTCTCCCCGGCCGATCCGCGACCACAGCTAACGCTGTGCTAACGTTAGCATCATACCATCGTGATGCTTCGTTACTCCGCCTCGCAACTTTTTAGGATCAACCACTTCACTACACCCTAGGGCTGTGCAATTAATCGTATTTTAATCGCGATTACGATTATGAAAACAGCATAATTGACAAAATACGATTATTTTGCTGGGTGCGCTTTCGCCCCTCCCTAAAAGCCCACTCGGCCACGTGGGAGTGACATGTGTTGTGAGTGTTCAGCGCGAGCGAAGATGTCAGAACAAGAGCAGCAACTCGTTAAAAAGAAGGGTCAAACTATTTCCACTATTTGGAAGTACTTTGGCTTTCAGGAGTCCGACGTGGAGCAAAACAAAGTACAGTGCAGAATTTGTTACCAGGTTGTGTTGGCAACACACGCTAACACAACCAATCTCTTTAATCATCTGAAATACAACCACAAAGTGCAATACGACCGGGCAGTAATACAACAAAAAGCAGATGCCCGATCGACTTCATCCACAACATCATCACAGTCATCGATTCAGGACGCATTGTACAGAGCAACGGCCTACGCGACGAGCTCTCAGAGACACAGAGATATTACAGGTGCCATTACATTTCACATCGCTAAAGATATGTGCCCAGTTAGCACTGTTAGCAACCTGGGCTTTAAGCAACTTGTCAACACGTTGGACAAGCGCATAGCCGCGGGAAGTCATTTTGCTCAGGGGGTGCTGCCAAAAGTGAGGAGGGAGCCGCTTAAAAAAAAAAAAAAAAGGCGGTGCCCGGGCCCAGCTGTCAGCGATACGAGCCGCATACATTGTTTGTTAAAGGCGAGACACGGCAGGCAAAAACATCGTTTTTCATGCACTGGTCAATTTTGAGATGTTGTGCTATTTTGATTCCATAACATGTTTTCTTTCAGGCTTTTGGAAGGAAAACGTACAAAATACACATTTAAGTGTTTATTTTACTATAGTTTGTCTATTTGCGTCTGTAGATGTCTCCTAAATTCACCAAAAGTTAGCATTCTAACGTAACATAAAGTACCGCGACCGCTGTGTGCACCATGTCAACAGAGGTATCGCTGGAAAGCTCCGTCTCTCCTGCACAATCTCATCGGATCCAAATATGGTCATTTCCTTTGTATCAGCAACCAATCGTGAAAGCACAAAGGGGTCTGAAACCAAGAAACGAAATCTCATTGGCTCGTGTCAACTTCTGACAACGTGATTCGTTCAGATGCGTCACGTGATGTGCTAAAACACTTCCTGGTTAGCTTTCCGCTAGAAATTGAAATCTCAAAATGACAAAGGAACGGCGAAAAAAACGTTCACAGAGAAGACGACAACAATTGTCACTTGCACGAAGCAAGGTTATAAAAAACACAAATGACCCCGAACATGAAATACCTTCACGGAGTGCGTCGATGCGCAAGCTGTCATCCAAAGAACAGAGGGTTTAGCTAGCGCCTCACTGCAATCTTTAAAGGTCCTTTTCTCAAAATGAGTTTTTTCTCCTACTCTGAGTTCGAAATGTCCACTTCAGTAGCACGTAGAGACACCAAACCTTCCAGTTATATTCCTATCAATATTATGAAGGCTTTTACAGAAGGGTTTGTTCATAGATCATTCATACATGTTATACCTAGAAACATGGCGAAAATTGATATTTTAGGGCTGTTGACAGTATTTTCTGATTTATGGAGTGATACAAAGAGATATCCAAAATCCCTTCTGTAAAAGCCTTAGATGCTAATATGACTACAAAATGAAACGAGCATTTTGAACCTGGCTTTATCCAAAGTTCAGATTTCGGTTCCTGAAATGTGTTAAAATATGCGCAAATTTAATGAGTTAATGGATAATTTGCATATTCAGAAAACTTGTAATATAAGAAACAATTGCCTTATTGTAGGTAATTAACTGGATAAATTACCCTATTCACCTGGGGTGTCTCGCCTTAACTTTAATAAACCATTATAGACCTTAGCAACAGCTGCACATGCCCACATGCTAACTATGGGTCTTACAAACCTACATAACATTACAAATAGTCAGAAAATATTATTTACAATATTAATAAAACTATGAATTCAATTTGAACTGATTGACAAGGCAAAACACTGCACAGCGGCAGCAACATTAAAGGAAACATCGTCTTACCTTGTGTTGGGGCTTCACAAAACTCCAAATGTAGCCTGGGGTGGCACTAATGAAGACCCTCATTAGAGCAGATACATCCACATTGTCCAAAATGTTACTATGGACATGCATTAAAGTCAGATGTGTCAGTCTCTTCTGTGTCATATTACTTGTAGAGGTGGTGGGCTGAGGAGTAGCTGGTGGTCCACTCTTTTTATTGGGTTGTTTGTTGGAGACAAAAATCCAAAATCCTTTTTTGCGCCATTCTATAAAGTTGTCACTCTGCAGTGTGTGTGTCGCATCAATTACGTCACTCTCCCACGACCTATGACCTAGATGACTCGGATTTTATTTATTTGGAAAATAAATTCAAGCCACCTGATATATACAAATATATACTATGACTATTATATGCTACTGTATACAGCTAATTTTATTTTAAGTAAAATCATAACTATTTTATGTAGTTTAATCATTTTTATTTAGGTGGTCACTCAGTTTTTCAAATGTATACCACTCGCCAACAGGGGGTGCTGCAGCACCCCCAGCACCCCTACTTCCCGCGGCTATGGACAAGCGTTACGCGATGCCGTCTCGGTATTATTTCAGCAGGTCTGCGCTGCCTGCACTATATGACAAATGCCGTGGGGAAGTTGAGAGAGATGTGGCTTCAGCTGACTACTTTGCTACCACAACAGACCTATGGTCTAGCCCAGGGGTGCCCAACCAGTCGATCGCAAGATGTGTCTAAAAATAGAACAACAATATTCTGTTTTATGTCCTATAACATAATCTTCCTGTGCCAGAATAATGCACTTGAACGCATCAAAGCTTTGTCCGGGCGTGGCTGAGGGTCTTCAGTACAGGTGGCAATATCGTCACCTGCCTGC